TCAAGGGTCCCAGGTTCGATTCTGGTCAAGGGCATGTACCTTGGTTGAGGACACATCCCCAGTTGTGTTTCTGACTCTCTCTATCCCTCTCCCTTCCTCTCTGTAAAAAAAAAAAATCAATAAAAAAAAACATATATATATATATATATATATATATATATATATATATATATATATATATATATATAGTCTAGAGATCAAGACCACCCTCTATTTGCCTCCGTACGTTATGGAACAGAGCTCCTTTAAATTAGCAAGTGGAGAGTGACTGAAGAGAGAAGCATTGGGACCAGGACTTGGGGTTTGTCGTTTAGTCTAAAGGACTCATCTAGTGGTTAACTGTGCAAGCTTCATCCTCCTGGATGCTTGAACCGTTCTTTCCTGTACCTTCCGTGGTATGAATACAGGGAGCGGAAGAAGAAAGAGAACCCGCGCTGGCTGGCTGCACGCTTCTGGATCTGCTCGCTTTCCCATTAATTCCAAACCAGGCGCAGTCAGTGACCTCCGTTTCCTCTTAGGAGACGCAAACATAATTTCTTCATTTGGCATTTTTCTCTGTGTCTTTTGAGTTTGTTTGCACCTTGGACTAAGGAATTCTCTGGATTTTGCTTTATTTCCTTCTATCATTCTAACAGCCCTCTCCCCACAATCTCACTCCCTGGAAAAGGTCAGGGTATTTAGTGGCAGAACATCTTTACTAGGTGCTGGGGCAAGGCCCTGCCTGGATGTGCTGAAATGAAGCGTGTTGCTGTAGGGCTGCTGTATGTACTAAAGACAGGGCACCCGCATGTTCTTTCTCCCCAGATCCTGGTCTACAGCCTGGAAGCAGAACGCTGCCTCTCGAAACTGGGCAACGCGCTTGGCGACTTCACCTGCGTCAACCTCAGGGACAGCCCTCCCCACCTCATGGTCAGCGGCAACATGGACCGGAGGTATGTCTGAGTAACAGGTTTTGTAGCCACAGCCGTTTGTGTCTCGGCCTGGCCGCCCAGCCTCACTGCTCACGCGTGTCCTCTGCGGCTCACACTCCGCAGTGCTCACTCCACGGCTCCGTCCACCGTGCTCAGCCCCATCCCAGAGATGCTGTCTCTGTGAACCTGGAGAACAGTCTCGCATTAGGTAATAGTTGGACGGCGCTGTCTCTGCCTCCTTTCTGCAGCGCCACGGGAAGGTGGTCTTTTAAGCCATTTGGTGGATGCAGTTGGTGGAAGGCCCAGTGAGACCACTTGGAATAAATTTGTTTGGCATTTAAAAGCTCACTTTCTAATATTAAAAACAATAACCTAAGGGATGAATCATGTTCAACGAAATAGGGTTGCCTGCCAAATGATGTCAAGAGTGTGTTTCCGAGCGCCGTGGTGTCCCTCTGGTGATGGGGAAGAGGCCGCATGTGAACAGATTCCAGTTCCTATTTAGGTGATTAGCAGCCTTCTCTTCAGCGCATTGGCTCGGGGAGTCGGGTTTTCCCGGTGCAGGTCCCGTGCCAGCCACGGACGCTCCAGGAACCATCAGCACGAAAGGATTAAAGTGTTTGAAAAGACTCCATGTCCACATTTCAGTGTTTTTTTCCCCATCCCCATGTCCTCTCCCCATGTCTTTTCTTTTCCTTTTTTAAATTTTTGGCTGGTGATAGGCCATGTCTGATCCAGCCCTGAAGAGAGGTGGCATGGCTAGAGGCCAGGGTCTGCACGCCCCTCCTCTGCTGGCCCCAGGCTGCAGGTGGTGGGCTGCTCGGCGGGGGGATCAGACGCGAGCGGGGGCTCTCTCGTGCCAAGCCCCACATCTCTGTCGCACCAGTGCAGCACTTGCAAAAATAATCATTTTGTCAAACAATATTTTCAACTCCTGACCTTCACCCCTCCACTACCCCTTTCCCTTAGAGCCAAAAGAAAATGTGAGAATGCTTTACTGAAAGGAAATACTTGATCGTTTTTCTCAAGGCCCCCAAACATGGCTGATATTTCCGAGGCTTGAAAATTGAACTCCTCAGTGTGTCCAGTTTTCCTCTTAAAAAGCCCCAGCCAGGCTTGATAAGTGGCCCCGTGCACCCCAGCAAATGAAACACGTCAGTTTGTAGTTTTACCATCACGTTTTAGTTTCCAGACTGAGCTACACAAAGGCTCCAAGCTTATCTGATAGGGTCTCCCCACAGGGACCTCGCAGCTCCTTGCTTTCCAGGAGAGCACATGCAAGGGCGCTGCGGCGTCCAGGCGGGAGGGCGGGGCTTGTCGGTGAGGTTTACAGCGTGGCCGTTTAGGTGGCCGCCACAGCTGGACTCCCGGAATCCTGCTTTCCGCCTGCCTTAGCCCAGTCAGCTCTAGAGGACGGGCCCGCCAGGCTGTCGGGACCACTGTCGGCTCCACCTCGGCTGCCAGGTAGTCCGAGTGGCACATACTCAGTGTGTACAGCGTGTCCCAAAAAGGTACACACAGTTTGAATGATTATAAAGTCAGTGTTTATTAGCATACTGTTCATTTTCAAAATTTAAAGGAATCCAGGAATGAATAATTTTTTTGTCAATGCCTGTTTTCAAATTGATGACTGTTCTGGTCCAGGCACTGCTGATAACACGAAGCAGTGGAATCACAAACTTCAAGAATCATTTCGTTAAGTAGTTGTGTGCCTTGAATTCATCAACTGCTACTGTAAACTTTATCTTTTATGTATCCCCATAAAAAAAAGGTCTAGTGCACTTTAGGATAAATTTTCTTTGTTCAAATCAGTTAAACTTAAAAAGCAGTGAAAATTAAGTGAGTTATCAGTTGAAGTGTATGTACACACACACTCCAGAGTTAAGCAAGGCTGACTTAACTCCGGATCAGGCTGCCTGCTCATGCGACCATTGCCGGGGAGGAGCTACTGCTCCGTGTGCAGAGTTCGTGGTCATCTTGCAATCCAGACTTGATCACGTTAAGCCCATTTTATTAGTAAACCAATGCTGTTTTTTAAACCCTCTGTCTCTGTGGATGAAAAGGACAGACTGGTGACTTGGAGTTGGGGAGGGGGCCATCCTAAGTGGCCTCAGTCAGGGCACTCCTACCTCTGTGTGCCAGCTGTTTGACCAGAGTATGTCCGAGTCGCACCATCGTACAGAGGATTATTCCTATGAGTCAGAGTAGCAGGGTAAGCGATATGAATTTGAGACACAGGGGTTAAACATTGTACATCTGGAAAAAGGAAGGAATAAGGAACCTAAACGTCTAAATGTAGTACAGGGAAATATCGTGAGGTTTTTCCCCTCAAAGCCTTAATAGCTATGAGTAGGAGCCATTAGAGAGGCACACCCATGCTTGTACAGCTTATGTTTTATTTCAAAAGTGGGAGTAAGGGGTCAGATACTATGACAAGAACTACATCCTAGACTGTTACTTAATGGCTAATGCAATTTTTAAAAACCTGGACCCTCCTTTTTCTTAACTTAAAAAACGGAATTCCAGTGCATTCTCTTAGTACTTTATAAATAACTTGAGAATGAAATGGGCTCTAAAGATGCATAAAACTGTCCCAGATTAAGACAAAAATAATTTTTCATTAAAATAAGGAAATCAGCTTGAGTTAGTTTGCAAACACAGGTGGAATTTGCAAGGAGTTTCTTTTTTTGGTGAGAGGTGGGGGGTGCGGATGTTAGACCTTTTAATATTGTCCCACAGATCACGGAAGCTCTGTTCACTTCTTTCCCAGCTCCACTTCTTCAGGTCACATGGTATCTATTGTGTAACCTCAGGTTCACTGGCTCTTCCTGTCATCTCCATTCTGCTGATGAGCCAATCGGTGACTTTTATTTCAGATTTTGTATTTTTGAGTTCCAAAATTTCCATTCAGTTCTTTTTCATAGTTTCTATTTCTCTGCTCCAAATATCAGTCTTTTTTACTATTTTACCTTTTTAAAAATACATGTTTTTATTGATTTTTTAGAGAAAGAGGAAGGGAGAGGGATAGAGAGAATCATCGATTGGCTGCCTCCTGCACGCCCCTTACTGGGGATCGAGCCTATAACCCGGGCATGTGCCCTGACTGGGAATCAAACCTGTGACCTCTTTGGTTCATGGTTGATGCTCAACCACTGAGCCACACTAGCGGGGCACCATTTTACTTTTACCTCATGGAATATAGTTACAGTAGTTGCTTTAACCCCTTGAGTGCCAACCAATATCCTAGGACCTATGCTAAAATTGCCAAGGCATTTTTGCTGATTTTACAGCAGTTTAGGAAAAAAATTATGAATCGCAAGTAAATGAAGTTACATATTCAAAAACTTAAGGAAACCTTTACTACATTTGTTTTCATCTTTGACATATATTGTTTGCTGATTGAATTATAAAAAAATTTGTAGAAAAAAATTTGAACAAAACATATAATGTTAAAATAGAGGGACACACTTCTCCAATATCTTCCACAAAATCGTCATCTTCACAGCAAGAATTGACATATTTAGCAATATCATCATCACTAATAAAAGCAGACTTAGAACTGGACGCCATTTTGAAGCTTTAGGGCTATAAAATCTGAGTAAACTTCATAAAATCGTAGTATCTGTAAAAAATTAGGCAGATAAATGCCAGTGGTCAATTTTAGAACTACAAACATTCGGCATCATAAGTAATCTGCACTTAGGTGCCATCTGTCAATAAAGAGTGAACTACTAGCATCTAATAGTGACACTGCAGGAGGAGCGCAATAGCGCTCCCGGCACTTTTGGCGAAAGACAAATCTGGGTTGTTTTAGGGTTGACATCTGTTAGTTGTTTTTCCCTTTGAGAATGGGTCACATTTTCCTGGTTGTTTTTTTCTGGGGGGGGTGGGTATGTCAAGTAATTTTGGGTTGCATCCTGGACATTTTGAATGTTAGGTCCTGCCCACTTTGGATCCTGTTATATAATCCTCTGGCGACTGTTGAGATTTTTTACTGATTTAAAGGCAGGCCGTCACCCTGGTGGGTGCAGACTGCAGGTGCTGTGTTGCCTTCGGTGGGTGGTGATTCCAGTGTCTGTTCAATTCCCAAAGCCTTTGCCATGCCCCTCTAGCTGTGGGCCCACATGCCACGCGGGATAGTCTGAGATGGCAGCAGGGCAGAATAGTGGAGTCCTCAGGGCCTCTGCTGTGCTGCTTTGGGGCTGTCCTGCACAGCTCAGAGTGGAGCCTGGGGTTGCTGGGGGTCATTCAGAGATGGGCTCCCTTCTCCAGGTCCCCGCTTCATCCCTGTACTTCCCAGCCTCCAGGGCTCCTTTCTCTGGGCCTATGATCAGTAGTTGGGTTTCTCAGTTTTACCTGCCTTCACTGCTGCCACCAAGCAGTTCTATGACATTATTTGGGCCGCAGGGGCCCCCTTTCTTGGTTCTTCAGAGTGAAGTTTCTTTTAGCTCCTGCAGCACCACACGGCTCTGCACTGGCGCTCATCCCCAGCGCGAGGCTGTGAGAGAAAAGGGAAAATGGGAAACCTTTTCCCCACCGTCTCTCCTTAACTCCCCAGAGTCCTCGGGAACTGGCTTTTTGTGTTTTGTGCAGGGGTTGTGGTTGCAGTCAGCAGAGGTCAGAGCAGTGTTGGGCTCACTGCATCTTGGCCAGCATCAGAACTCTCTCTCTTAAACGATTTAATTAAATGCTGTGTTCAGCAGTAGAGGCTTTGGTAAAGGAGGCCCCTTCCTCTCCTGTGGCCCTCAGTCTTCTCCTCTGTGATCTGCTCCTTCTTTCCCAGTCAACTCTGGGTCTAGAATGGAGAAGCTTATCAGTGCTCTGCCGGGAAGAATCAGATAAGAGTTGGGGGTAAGGGCATATGTTAGGTTGTTAGTGGGTTGCCAAGGCAGCATTCGCTGAACCAACAAATCCCACTGCTTTTTCTCCATAATCTTAAGATTATTTTTTAAAACACATTTTTATTGATTTCAGAGGGGAGGGGAGAGGGAGAGAGAGAGAGAAGCATCAATGATGAGAAA